GAAGATCCTTCAGGAGGTGGAGGCGGGTAACATGATATTACTCGATATTACAGAGTAATATCATGTTACCCGTTTGTCGATATTATCGAGTCGATAATTGCGATGTCGCAAAGAGGAGTTTTTGTCCCCATGGCAATGGTTGAGAAGTCTAACTGCATCTCTCGCTGCTCGATCTAGGGAGCCAAAGCACTATCGAATAATAGAAGATTATAGAGGAAGTCTTCCAATAAGTATCCTTTAATTAAACTACTTGCCTACCAAAATTACAGGACGTCCTTCCTATAGCTTCCCGTCTCGTCGGAGGAGGGGGACTGTCATTCATGCCCTTGGCTTAGATATTGCCGGAGTATTTCGCTACATACCTGTGTCTCCATGTAAAGCTGTTTACTGAATGCCCGGACCTCTCAGAGAGCAGAGCAACATCTCGTTTCCCCATTGGACTCAAAAGTAGTCCATTTCTTTGCCAGACCAAGCGGGATGGCATTCCGACTCATAAAAGCCACCGTAACTCTAATACTATTATGGCTGGTCTACGGCTCCCGATTTCAGCTCATGAGACCACCACCCACCAGAACCGGATTAAATATATTGGTTATATGCTGCACCCCAATTTCCCAATGCGGGTGAGCTCATTGACAAAAACCGCAGAGTAATGGAGGACCTTCAGAAGTCTGAGTAAGCAACCTCGCAACTTTCTGAGTGATGTCGAAAAGACTTGCGGTAAACTCATCTGAACATGTGGCCTATTACCTCAGGAGGGATCTTGCGAGGATCTTCCCCAACTGACAAGCACTGCGATGTATACCAACCCCCTCTACTCCTTAGCCACTCTCTACCATCTCTCTTGGAGTTAGACTCTAATCTAATACTCAATAATGACGTGGTGTTGAGGTCCAGAGTCTCCAAGACTAAACATTCTCCACTGTACGCTGCAAGGGAGTTTTAAACGGTATATATAGAGAGACTTCACCCCACTTCTTTGTCTCTAGCCGTTTAAGTGCGATTTATTTTGGATAGCATACGTAGCAGCCCAACAAAGGTTGAGCACGGCGTGCTCAGCACGCACTAGCCTCTGATTCAGAGGCTCTGAAAATGCATCACAATAGAATCTCTAAGAGAACCCAACTCGCCAGAAATGATCAACAAGCATCGACTCGGGTAATCCGCCTAGAAGCGACATTGGCTGTGAATTCGAGTGGAGCAAAGGGATGAAGAAACGTCAAGGTGGAGAGCGTGAGGTTCCACAAGGAAGCACCTTGAAGGTACCCCTCCCAGAGTCTGTAGCTACTTGACGTTGAGGTTCGTAAGCACCAAGAGGGTCAAGAGTGCCCTTATGGAATCACCTCACGTGAAAAGCGAAATTGGTTTATTCCAAGCAATAGCTGTTATCCTAAGCATATGTTGTCGAGCTAGGCGCCAAATTGGTTTATTCCAAGAACTAGCTGCTATCCTAAGCATATGTTGTCGAGCTAAGCATACCTTGCAGTTACAAGCACCTTCTTGTGCTGGGAATGGCAAGCTTAAGCTGCTTCGGGTTGCCCGTTAATCGATTTCAAAATACGAAACACAATCCTGTTATGATCAAAAATTTCCTCAGAAAAGCTACAGCAGCGTCCACTCGAAACACTAAAACCATCCGAGGACTTGCATGTTGCCCTGATCATATTGCTGGGTTGTAGGTGATTACCTCATTTCTTCTTCTGGGGGTGATACCAATTCTAGCGCCGTGCTTGAAGCACAGCTCCGTCGCACCCATCACTGTTTTATCTTCATAGCGGGGTTGCTGGTAAGGAAGCTGGTGGTATCACTACAGTGGTAGCGGTTTTAGCTCGGTTAATCCGTGAGTCTTCGATCCTCGGTTGAGCATCTTTGCACGAGATGCTACTCGATGCAATCTGTGAGTGATGAATGTAGTTGGAAAGCAAGACACCGAATTCAGACTAGAATACAGGGAAACTTCTCTGAGACAGAATGGAGTATGATCCAGATCGAGAGCACAGCTGAGAGTAACCCGTTGCATAGGCGAGCGCGTCCTAGGCCACTGTTTGCACCATTCTACACTACGTTATCTACGTGGAGGGTAGCATAGCATCTCTTATTGCCGTGAAAATCGCGAAAGTCGTGAAAATCCGAGGTGGTCCAGAAAGTGTCCTCCATATCTGAACGCAACAACATCCACAGTATTCAATGAGAAGAAAACGTACCATATTGCTCTTGTTCAATGATTGATTAACTTGATCCAATGATGATTGAACTTCAATCCAATAACCGGCCACTCAATGGTCATTGAAAGGTGATGATCCCAGCTCAAGTTTTCCTCTTGGGCGCTCCTCGAACTCCAACGGTTGCAAGAGTGTGCTCGTCAAAAATTCGGATAGCGCACAGCAACGCGCAGACCTGCATACAGATGAGCGATAAAAAGCAGGCACCTACGCATGGCATTAACGCGATATTGGGCAGAGATATGGAGAAATGAAAATAAACGGTAAACAGATGGGTACTGTAGTGAAAATGACCCGAAATTTTCGCAGTGTTCAAGACATATGTACGGTGCGTGAGGCACGAGCATCGGAGCAGGGAGACTACCTCACCGACGTCGCTACGTTGGCTAGGCATAGAATCATCATGATTCAATCATGGTGCTGGGTAGATTCACACTATATTCAGATCCCGCAGATCGCCGAAGATCATATACTCGCTGTACTCTTTTAGCTTACGAGAATAGTCACGAAATACGTACGTAATTAAGTAGTACCAGCCACCTTCCACTCTTTTTATGACGATTTCTTGTATGGTGTAAATCTCAGAACTGGGTACGTTGGAGGAGCATTTGTGCATACAAAATAGCCTCAACCCGTCGCTGTTCGCTGTACCAGTTAGCCTATCCCACGAGCTCCAAATGCTCACGTTATTAGGGAGAGTACCAGAGTCGATAGTTGAAACTTGGACACGCACTTCAACAGGCTGTGGACCGTAGATGTTCTTGCCTGGGGCTGGATTCCACCAAAAGTCTCTGGTTTCATCACCGACACTCAGGTGAGCCCAACCATCCGTTCCCACTAGGACATCATGCGTTTCGGTGTCAGGCACGGTGGACAGATTGAGGCTCATATGCAGGCTGCCCCAATGCCCAGGCCTGTTGGTGTTGAGTATGATCCCGGCAACCTCTCTATGAACTCCATCGATTGTATATCCCTTCATGTTGTAAATGCAGGAAGGCGGTAGCATATTATAAATGGCGCTTCCATTCCCTGGACCAGGACCTCCATAACAACCCAGTGGATAGTCAGCAGTAATCTGGAAAGGGATATCAGGTAGTCCCAGGGCTGCTTCCATCACAGTGGCAAGCAAGAGAGAGCCGTAAGCAAGAGGCATCACGAATAAGATTTAACCTGGAGAGTTTGTTGATGGGAATCCAACGATTGTGACGCAGTCGAACGGATACACGTTCCTCTTCACGTCAACTTCACGCCCGCGGCATCATTATCACTACAGAGATTAGGCGTATGACTGAAATAGCGAAGATATGTCAATGCGGAGCATCTCAGCGGTGTTGCTCGGGAAAGAAGAACATTCAGGAGCAGTAAGTAAAATTCCGTAGGATATCATGTGCTCCGTTCATGTTACAACACATTGTGCTGAACACAGGGATTTCAGTATAAATCTTTCTGTATACGGGTAAACTGCATAACTATACTTACTGGCATGCGAGTACAGGCCACAGCTGAGTAGAATCGAGGTAATACATTGACCATAGCTCTGATCAGAGACTCTGATTCAGGGTGGTAGTCGGCCAGTTCTACAAAAAAAACTCAATCCATCACTCACAAGTTGCGCGCTGGAGCGGGTGCCCGCGCGCTAGGATCAAACCGGCATTTGGTGAGCTCTGCGTAGCAGACGTGGCGTTCACACGAGCTAAGCGACAAAAATATGGGCAACAAGCCACACAACTGAACTGAATGAGAACACAATAGCCTGAGTGGTGCGATAAGTCGCACAAATTCAAGCTAGTAAAGCTATTGTGGATAACTACTTAAGACCAAATATATCAAGTGATATACATATTTTTTTGCTCTTATACCTCCCACTACCAAGCTCATCAAAGACTTGCTAGGTGAGACCTCGTCCCCGAGAAGGACCTTACAATTTTGGTAACGCATCTTGAGACTACCGCGGCTACCGCAGTAGACTATCTGGCAAGAGTACATTCACCTCTCATCGACGCTGTTATGACAAGTGTCCCACGGACACTGCTAAAGTGTTGGCTAGGTTGAGACTTGATGTTATCTCGAGGAGGATCAGCCGAGGAATGTATTGAAGCGCAAGCGCGCGAAGTACTTACTCTGAGAGTAATATGGTATCCTATGTTGGCCCTATCGGAAGGAAGGCTCCATCGGGTATAATATCCCAAAGCAGGTTCCTACTAAGCTGAGCTCAGTAAGCTCCAAAGGGATCCTTATATGTATGTCCGTATGAGCGAGCCGCATTTGGCCTTGAATCTTGATGATCCGACCATTATCACCAAGGAGAATCTTGAAAGGGGTAAGCCCGTGAAGTCACCCGACTCAAGTGATCGCGCTTGATCATTGGATCACTGGTTTTACGAGATATGTGTGGCTCTCATGATGATTCTCTCCCCTAGAAGGGAAGTATCGCCTCTCGCAATTTTATCCTATGCGTCTCCGTAGTGAAATTGTCTGAAAACTAAAAGTTTTTTCATATTGCGGCTACATTAGATCAGCAGTATAGGGCTAGAGCATCTGTTTACAGAGTTCGAGGATTGAACTGGGCATCATTCCTTACCGATCCTGGAACTGCTGATCAGTGGGAATCCGCCCTTCTTGTAAGTGCAAGAATAAGGGCTTTCAAGGATGAGTCTTCACCTAAACACCAACGGGATTCGAGAACCGTTGTATGTAAGTATTTTCGGCAAGGCCGATGTTTGCAAAGGGACAAGTGTCGATCCAAACATTCTAGTGAAGAGAATCTCTTCAAGAGATAAAAAGTCCAATGCCGTCAAGTCCTACTTTGATGAATGAGCTCAAAAAGCTTGTCGCAAAAATAGAGATCCTTTGAGCCCCAAAAGGAGCCGTGAAGTAACTTCACCAGAAATCGACAAGTATTCAAAAGTCAAGCGATTTCCCTGTCCCCACAAGTTGTTGGCACCAACTATGCTTTTGGTCTTCTGAGCTAACTAATTTCTTGCGTTAGGGCTACACCAACTGGGAGCACCTACGGAACACCCAGGTGTAAACGATGGTAGTGCTCTAGCCGAAGAACTAGCTATAGATATCGATAAGGTTGGCCTCTTCAACCTTGCTACCTGGACTCGTAAAAACCACTCTCAACAAGTTCAATCTGGTCCACGACTCTCCAAATTTGGCGCAAGAGAAGGGTGGTGAAATCTTTGTCAAAGCTGCCAACGAGTTACCCGATGTCCTATCTGAACTGTACTATCGAGAAGTCCCAGATGCTGAACAGTATCGCTGCTCTCACTTCTAATCCTACGACACTTAGACCAGGGGTATTTGATCTGTTTATGTACATATTCTTTATCGACGATCTATCGATGAATCTGAGAGAGCCGCAATAGGTGAAAGGCTCACCAAAGGAAGTCCACTGGGAATTCTAAATTCTATTCCCCACTCCAAATACTGGCCTGTTTCATCGAAGATCGAAGTCGACAACAATGCCAGAGCTGTCTATCACAACTATACTAGTGTACGCTTCAACGAATTAATGGCTACCCAGAAGATCCTTCAGGAGGTGGAGGCGGGTAACATGATATTACTCGATATTATCGAGTAATATCATGTTACCCGTTGTCGATATTATCGAGTCGATAATTGCGATGTCGCAAAGAGGAGTTTTTGTCCCCATGGCAATGGTTGAGAAGTCTAACTGCACCTCTCGCTGCTCGATCTAGGGAGCCAAAGCACTATCGAATAATAGAAGATTATAGAGGAAGTCTTCCAATAAGAGAGTATCCTTCAATTAAACTACTTGCCTACCAAAATTACAGGACGTCCTTCCTATAGCTTCCCGTCTCGTCGGAGGAGGGGGACTGTCATTCATGCCCTTGGCTTAGATATTGCCGGAGTATTTCGCTACATACCTGTGTCTCCATATAAAGCTGCTTACTGAATGCCCGGACCTCTCAGGGGGCAGAGCAACAGCTCGTTTCCCCATTGGACTCAAAAGTAGTCCATTTCTTTGCCAGACCAAGCGGGATGGCATTCCGACTCATAAAAGCCACCGTAACTCTAATACTATTATGGCTGGTCTACGGCTCCCGATTTCAGCTCATGAGACCACCACCCACCAGAACCGGATTAAATATATTGGTTATATGCTGCACTCCAATTTCCCAATCCGGGTGAGCTCATTGACAAAAACCACAGAGTAATGGAGGACCTTCAGAAGTCTGAGTAAGCAACTTCACAACTTTCTGAGTGATGTCGAAAACACTTGCGGTAAACTCATCTGAACATGTGGCCTATTACCTCAGGAGGGATCTTGCGAGGATCTTCCTCAACTGACAAGCACTGCGATGTATACCAACCCCCTCTACTCTTCAGCCACTCTCTACCATCTGTCTTGGAGTAAGACTCTAATCTAATACTCAATAATGACGTGGTGTTGAGGTCCAGAGTCTCCAAGACTAAACATTCTCCACTGTACGCTGCAAGGGAGTTTAAACGGTATATATAGAGAGACTTCACCCCATTTCTTTGTCTCTAGCCGTTTAAGTGCGATTTATTTTGGATAGCATACGTAGCAGCCCAACAAAGGTTGAGCACGCACTAGCCTGTGAAAATGCAACACAATAGGATCTCTAAGAGAAGTTCTCTTAGAGAACTGGTGGCTGCCACCCTGATCAGGATCACCCTGATCCTGAGGTTCTCTTAGAGAACCCAACTCGCCAGAAATGATCAACAAGCATCGACTCGGGTAATCCGCGTAGAAGCGACATTGGCTGTGAATTCGAGTGGAGCAAAGGGATGAAGAAACGTCAAGGTGGAGAGCGTGAGGTTCTACAAGGAAGCACCTTGAAGGTAACCCTCCCAGAGTCTGTAGCTACTTGACGTTAAGGTTCGTAAGCACCAAAAGGGTCAAGAGTGCCCTTATGGAATCACCTCACGTGAAAAGCGAAATTGGTTTATTCCAAGCAATAGCTGTTATCCTAAGCATATATTGTCGAGCTAGGCGCCAAATTGGTTTATTCCAAGAACTAGCTGCTATCTTAAGCATATGTTGTCGAGCTAAGCATACCTTGCAGTTACAAGCACCTTCTTGTGCTGGGAATGGCAAGCTTAAGCTGCTTCGGGTTGCCCGTTAATCGATTTCAAAATACGAAACACAATCCTGTTATGATCAAAAATTTCCTCAGAAAAGCTACAGCAGCGTCCACTCGAAACACTAAAACCATCCGAGGACTTGCATGTTGCCCTGATCATATTGCTGGGTTGTAGGTGATTACCTCATTTCTTCTTCTGGGGGTGATACCAATTCTAGCGCCGTGCTTGAAGCACAGCTCCGTCGCACCCATCACTGTTTTTATCTTCATAGCGGGGTTGCTGGTAAGGAAGCTGGTGGTATCACTACAGTGGTAGCGGTTTTAGCTCGGTTAATCCGTGAGTCTTCGATCCTCGGTTGAGCATCTTTGCACGAGATGCTACTTGACGCATTCTGTGAGTGATGGATGTAGCTGGAAAGCAAGACACCGAATTCAGACTAGAATACAGGGAAACTTCTCTGAGACAGAATGGAGTATGATCCAGATCGAGAGCACAGCTGAAAGTAACCAGTTGCATAGGCGAGCGCGACCTAGGCCACTGTTTGCACCATTCTACACTACGTTATCTACGTGGAGGGTAGCATAGCATCTCTTATTGCCGTGAAAATGCGAAAGTCGTGAAAATCCGAGGCGGTCCAGAAAGTGTCCTCCATATCTGAACGCAACAACATCCACAGTATTCAATGAGAAGAAAACGTACCATATTGCTCTTGTTCAATGATTGATTAACTTGATCCAATGATGATTGAACTTCAATCCAATAACCGGCCACTGAATGGTCATTGAAAGGTGATGATCCCAGCTAAAGCTTCCCTCTGGGGCGCCCCTCGAGCTCCAATGAGGGTTGCAAGAGTGTGCTCGTCAAAAAGTCGGATAGCGCACAGCAACGCGCAGACCTGCATACAGATGAGCGATAAAAAGCAGGCACCTACGCATGGCATTAACGCGATATTGGGCAGAGATATGGAGAAATGAAAATAAACGGTAAACAGATGGGTACTGTAGTGAAAATGACCCGAAATCCTCGCAGTGTTCAAGACATATGTACGGTGCGTGAGGCACCAGCATCGGAGCAGGGAGACTACCTCACCGACGTCGCCAGGTTGGCTAGGCATAGAATCATCATGATTCAATCATGGTGCTGGGTAGATTCACACTATATTCACGTCCTGCAGAGTGCCCCAGATCACATTCTTGATGTAATCTTTTATGTCACCAGAATAGTCACGAAATACGTACGTAACGAAGTAGTACCAGCCACCTTTCACCCTTTTTATGACGATTTCTTGTATGGTGTAAATCTCAGAATTGGGTACGTTGGAGGAGCATTTGTGCATACAAAATTGCCTCAACCCGTCGCTGTTCGCTGTACCATTTAGTCTGTCCCACGAGCTCCAAATTCTCACGTTATTGGGGAGAGTACCAGAGTCGATAGTTGAAACTTGGACACCCACTTCAACAGGCTGTGGACCGTAGATGTTCTTGCCTGGGGCTGGATTCCACCAAAAGTCTCTGGTTTCATCACCGACACTCAGGTGAGCCCAACCATCCGTTCCCACTAGGACATCATGCGTTTCGGTGTCAGGCACGGTAGACAGATTGAGGCTCATATGCAGGCTGCCCCAATGCCCAGGCCTGTTGGTGTTAAGTATGATCCCGGCAACCTCTCTATGAACTCCATCGATTGTATATCCCTTCATGTTGTAAATGCAGGAAGGCGGTAGCATATTGTAAATGGCGCTTCCATTCCCTGGACCAGGACCTCCATAACAACCCAGTGGATAGTCAGCAGTAATCTGGAACGGGATATCAGGTAGTCCCAGGGCTGCTTCCATCACAGTGGCAAGCAAGAGAGAGCCGTAAGCAAGAGGCATCACGAATAAGATTTAACCTGGAGAGTTTGTTGATGGGAATCCAACGATTGTGACGCAGTCGAACGGATACACGTTCCTCTTCACGTCAACTTCACGCCCGCGGCATCATTATCACTACAGAGATTAGGCGTATGACTGAAATAGCGAAGATATGTCAATGCGGAGCATCTCAGCGGTGTTGCTCGGGAAAGAAGAACATTCAGGAGCAGTAAGTAAAATTCCGTAGGATATCATGTGCTCCGTTCATGTTACAACACATTGTGCTGAACACAGGGATTTCAGTATAAATCTTTCTGTATACGGGTAAACTGCATAATTATACTTACTGGCATGCGAGTACAGGCCACAGCTGAGTAGAATCGAGGTAATACATTGACCATGGCTCTGATCAGAGACTCTGATTCAGGGTGGTAGTCGGCCAGTTCTACAAAAAAAACTCAATCCATCACTCACAAGTTGCGCGCTGGAGCGGGTGCCCGCGCGCTAGGATCAAACCGGCATTTGGTGAGCTCTGCGTAGCAGACGTGGCGTTCAAACGAGCTAAGCGACAAAAATATGGGCAACAAGCCACACAACTGAATTGAACGAAAGCACAATAGCTGAGTGGTGCGATAAGTCGCACAAATTCGAGCTAGTAAAGCTGTTGTGGATAATATTAAGACCAAAGATATCATTAGTGATATACATATTTTTCAAGCTCCTATACTTCCGACTACCAAGCTCATCAAGGACTTGCTAGGTGAGACCTCGTCTCCGAGGAGGCCCTTACAATCTTGGTAACGCATATTGAGACTACCGCGGCTTACCGCAGTAGACTATCTGGCAAGAGTACATTCGCCTCTCATCGACGCTGTCATTGACAAGTCGCCCACTGACACAGCTAAAGTGTTGGTAAGGTTGAGACTCAATGAATTCAGTGTTAACACTGAATATTGAGAAGTTGCAAGAGTGCAAGATTTTTGTGCATCATTTCAGCACGCAAGATCAGTGTCTCTTTTTAGCCTAGCTAAGTCAAGCTTGGTTAGAAAATTGAGTTCAGTAGACTCTAACTCTATCGCATCCATCGTCCGGTTGCGTTGTGTTTCCCATATTCGGTGAGCAAGGTATCGACTACACTCTGTTCAACGAATTTTCTATCGAGATGCTACCTCAAGAAGATCCTTCTCGAAGGTCAATCGACAGACCTCTACGTCCTAGCCAGAACGGCCCTGGCAAGCTAGTCCGAAGTAATTCTGACCCTGGACTATGTATTGCTGGCTCTCTTGGTGTTCGGCAAGTGCATGGTAAGGTGGACGGTTTTGGTGGACCCCCAATTCAACAACCACATGGTGAGGTTAATGGTTCTGCCAGAACCATTAACCAGAACCGTTCTGGTGTACTTTCACTTCAACGATCACTGGGTCAAGCAGATGACGACGGTGAACCTAGTATTCCTATCCGTGGCGTTGGAGGTCCTCAAGGGTTGCTACGGCGCTCTTCTCGACTGGCGGGTGCTCCAACTGAGTTAATCAGTCTACCAGATGCACGACGTAGGAGCAAACCTATGAACCCTGGTCGTTTGCAGTATCATCCGACCGTCCCCTATCCAGAGGAGGAGCCATTGAATTTTGACTCCCCAACCGTTCGTGATGTGCTTCCCCAACAATGAGAGTTATCTAAACATCAGACAACTGAGCAATCCGTTGATCCCGTTAAGTGTATTGTTGGTGACCCCCTGCCCGTTCCTATCGGTAAGGTTCAGATTCCACAAGGCCAACGTGCTGTGCTGAATAATGGTTTGCTTTCGACAAGACCTCAGGCGAGGATTGCACCCTCTCAGTATCCGCAACCCGAAGTCCAAGAGGGAGATTGTTCTTATTTTCAACGTCGAACTCAGATCAGAGATGTTGTAGATTGTAACAGACGGGCATCAACATCGCCATGTGGCCAAGACCGAAGTTCAAGATTCTCTGATTGGATCTCGGATAGTGAATGGGTGCAGCTCAGGGAGGCTTCTGACCATCTTGGACAAGCCTGGCGAAAGGCAGGTCGTAAACTATTTGACGATAATGAGGCTTCACCCCCTCCATCGACAACCCTGCGTGAATGGGAGAAGTTTTGTTATGCTGAATGGACGGCACCGAATGCACCAGATGCGGTCCGAGCATTCATGTCAGCCGTTATTTCCCCAGACTTGAGTGCTGATATAAAGAAGGCTCTTGGTCGACACAGGTTGTCTGGTGATCAGCTTCGCTCACGGTACTTCTACACTGAGCTCTACGACTTTGCGACCAAGCATTTGGCCGACAATAAAGGCAGACTCCTCAAGGCAGCTCTACCGGTAAACCGAAGACATGTTAGAGATGTTTCCAGAAAGGGCATGTAGCCAAGGATTGTCGTAGCGAACAGCCCAGAAGAGTTGAACTTCGGTGCCGGTGCGGGAGTGGGAGTCTCCCACTGGGAGACACTCGGTAGCCGAGTGTACTGTGAGAGCTAGCGAGTTGAGATGTGAGAGATGCAACAATTTGTCGACGTTATCTAAGCAAGCCCCCCATAGATCGGGAGTATGCCCCTACTCTTGGGAAGTTATCCATGAGGCCGAAAGAAGAACATTGCCACCAAGCTCAGCTAATATTGCCAATATTGATGGGTGTTCTCTGACCGATGACGATCTTCCAGAGCTCGAGATTTTCGCCTTGGCTACTACTGATGATGAACAACATACTTGGTTTATTCAACCACGAACGCCGATTTTGGTTGGCGTCCCTCAGAGCACTGTTAATGCTTCTGTCTTAGCACTCTGGGACTCTGGAGCGTCGGCCAACTTTGTGCGAATTGACGTCTTGGAGGCATTGGCAGCCAAGGCGGGCAAGGAGTTCTCGAGGCCTCCCTCTCGATCACGAACCGTATGTGCAACCTTAGCGGATAACAAGACCAAGATCGAGCTACTGGGAGTATGTTCGGTTACCGTTACATCCCCCAAGACGTCCGCTGTCATCCGTGCTCATGTTACGACGAAGCTGGCTCATCCTTTGGTTATTGGCGTCCCTGGACTTTCGGCCCTCGGGGCTAGCCTACGGTTTGATACAACTGGCGACATCCACATTACTACAGGGCATGTCCTGGAGGACCCTCCTAAGGTGTCTTCAAGACTTGAGGATCCATCGAGGGGAGCCTTATGTGATAGGGCAACTACAGTTGCTGTGCGCTGTGAACCCTCTCGTGGTACAAATGGGGTGTCAACCATTCCATCTATCTGTTCATTGACGGGGAGATCATCGGGCAGACAGCGGACTATCTGCCAGCAATATTTTGTCATTGACTCTTCTGAGTGCGCCGGTACCACACCCGAAGCTTTTGGGGTCGAGTTGACGGCCCCAAGTTCAACCCCATCTTCTCGGAAGTCTAGTCTGTCGAACTGGCAGATTTGTGGCTGACTTTAGAATGCACGGTTCACATACAGTGGTGGGAAACGGCTTTTGTGTGGCAGTAAAGCGAGCATGTCGTTCTCTCCGAGGCAAGTCCCACGAAGAACGGTGTCAGATTAATCTTGCGATTGATACTCTGATCAATTCTGGGTATGTGAGCTACATGTATCTGCGCTCGACGAGTGAACCCCCATCCAAGAGACTCCTGGGCCGGCTGTACCAGGAGAATCCTAGGATCGTTGGCACTTATTTGGAAGCAGACAACTACTTCATGAATAATCTGCCGATATTCATACCAGCCCAGTCCGTTTTCCGATCAAGTCCGACAACTCCGTGCAGGATTGTCTTTGATGCTAGAGTGGTGAACCGGTGTTTGATGACACCGACAGTCACTAGGTGGAGTGTATCACGTTACTTGACTCGGATGAGTGTCAGACCAATCGTCTGCTTCGCTGACATCAAGGCCGCCTTTAATCAAGATTTGTGGACTGGTGAGACGGCTTCGACGTGTGCCTCGGTTTTGTTCAAAGCCCCTACCGCAGAGAATCCCCAACCGTCGCCAATTCTGATTTTATGGGTGTCTATGGCATTTGGATTAGCTCCTAGTCCGGGCTGCCTCGAGCTTAGTACTGCGATGATGGCCATTGAAGGACAGCGACTTGGTAGGCTCCTCAGGGTGCCAGTTGACTACCTGCAGTCGGAGTGCCAATGTGATGTGCCACAAATCTATAGTACAGCGGTTTATGATTATGCCAGACCCATCCTGATGTCAGCCTTTGATACTACTGATACATCAAAGGCCGCTCGACTAGCTGGGGCTATATGCTGGGATGACTATGTGGATAACTGGCAGTACCCTGGTTATCATATATGGCAAGTATGTTGGAGTCGTGCGATTATGTCGTCGACGGCAAATTTCCATGGGTTCGACTTCTCAGACATAAAGGAGAATCAGTCGTGGTCGCCAAAGCCAGGGTCTACCGCTCTCGGATATGGGTTTACTGAGAACGATTGTCTCCTTCCTGCGTTCAATGGTATCTCTCTGGCAGAGGATGGTCGTGTGACCAAACGCGACGTGAGCAAGTGTCTCTCTTCCTTCTATGACCCTCTTGGTAAATACTTAGAAGTAAGTATGGCTGCCCGTATGCTATGGAGGAAGGTGGTGATTACCGTCAACGACAAGTACAAAGGTGTCGTTCCCGAACAGTCTTACCAATGTATCGTCCCGGCCAACCTTGTTCAAGAGATCAACTCTTGGGTGGACCATGTGAAGGGTCTCGCAGATTCCCCGGTACCCCGGTTTGTACCTATTCAACCGGGTCCTTTTCTATGTTCGAATCCTGAGAATCATATCTCAGTAGTGATATCATGCGACGCCTCCGGTAGTGGCTGGAGTGTTGACGTCAGAACAAGGTTGAATAGTCTTCCTCTGAGTCCGAGATTGGAAGCTCGTGGTGGGCTATTTCCTTTGGGCAAGACTGTTGATGACTATGTCTCTACTACCCCCCAGAAAGAACTACATGCTTTGGTTCAAGCGGCTCAGGAAGCCAAACACTTGAGCGATTTGGATGATTGGTGTATGAGGAAACCGGTGTCGGTAGTGCTGCTAACAGATAGTCTGATTAATGTCCAACGACTGCGATGGTTGGGCTCTCAGACTGAAGAGGAAGCCCTTATCAAGATCGGCAAGCGTGGGAAACACTTGCTGAGCAAGTTTGATATTCAACGACTTGTACGGATCCGTGAACTTCTGCTCCGCCTACCGGTAGAAGCGAGGGTTGTGTATGTACCTTCAGCGCTAAATCCGGCAGACCCAAGTTCGAGAGGACTCCTCTGTACTCCAAGTCCACACTCTCCAAGCCTACTTGAGCTTATGTTGGACAACCTCGGGTTAAGGCCGTGCTATGAGCCTCGAGAAATGGAAGGGGACGCTACATATGATGAGTGCTATCTAAATCATTTTGGAGCATCTATGGGTAGTTCTGAGCATTGTCCAGAAGGTTTGGTCCCGATCGATCTATCTCTGAATGCAATATCCCCTCGGGTAGGCCCTCTATCCGTACCACTCCCTGAAGCTGAAGAAGATGGACTGCCAACACCCTCGGACGAGGAGGTTGAACAACTCGACAGCCTAATCGAGATGTCGATTGGGATGGACCCGGTTCTCAATGCGGTTCGATGTTTCTTGAGAAACAGCACTGTCATGGCACCGTTCTCCTTTGAGCGATCAGGCGATTATCGGTTGAGTATGAATTGGAGCCGGACACGGGCTACCTATTTAGAGTGGTACTACAGCGTCCAGATGGAGCTACGATTCGCCAGAGAGCTATTGGACGGAGTATGCGACAGCTGTCGTACAAGATTGTTGCCGATATGCATATTAAATTTACACATCTGGGGTCTTCACAGCTGATCAAGAAGGTTAAGGAGCGATATCATTTCCGAGATCTTCAGAAGATTGTACGCCGTTGTGTGCGTTCCTGTCGTGCATGTATTAAAGCTAATGCGGTGAGGAGCTTCAACTCGGGGGGAGGCCAGCGGCATGTGAAGGACTTACTCCCCTTTCAAGTCCTGGGCGTCGACATTTATTTGCCATATCTCAAAGATGGCACTTCTCGTGGTACTGGTCCTTATTCGGGCTCTCTGGTTGTTACCTGCCTTGGTTCTGGATTCCAGCGTCTAGTACTCCTTAAAGGCCCTATAACTGCCAAGAGTGTATGCTCGGCTCTCAGCAACTTATTTAACAATAGTCTGTGGCACAGACTGGGCCACAGACTCTGTGGCCCTGTATCATACTTAGTGATAGCGCACGGTGCTTTACGTCGGTGGAAATGAGGAAGTGGGCTAATCTACACAACGTTGTTCATTTGTGTATTCCCCCTTATGCGGCAAGCCTCTCTCGTTGGGAGAGAAGTCACCGAGAGGTCACCAAGGCATTACGATCCTGTGCATGTGATCCGCAGTTCTATGGTGGACGGCCGTGGTATGAGATCCTCCCGGAGGTCATTTCAAAACTGAATGAGCTCCCCTTTTCGGACGATTGCTGGCTCAATCCTAAAATGTTGGTTTACGGGTTCTATAATCCTAACTCCTATTATGGCGACAATGTATCGTTGGATCACCTTTGTGATAGGCTGTGTTCGACGCAATCGATAGATAGTATCAAGAAGATTCGTGCCGATTCCCAGTCTAACCATAAACTCAGGTTAGTTGATTACTTGAGACATTGGAGTGCCTATCGGGAAGCCTCGAGGTCTCGAGTCCTTACTTCTCATGGACGGCCCTGTGATTTGGTTAAGGGTGATCTGTGTTACCATCTTATTGACAACCCAAAGACCAAACTGGCTTCCCGAGTCCTAGGACCCTATAAAGTTGAGTCCTTTGAACCCGGGAAATCTACTGCTACTATCATGGGTTTTGATGGGTCGACTACCAGGGCTTGGGTGGTTAACCTGGTACGCGTTCCTTCTAATGATATATTTAAGAGTGATCCAGAGCAAGTCCCTTCTCCCGGTATGAATGTCTCGACCCCCTCTCCTACCAATGATGGTGTGCCTCTCATTGCTCCTGATCTTTCAACTACTCCTGCCGATGATGGTATTCCCAGAAGTGATCCCAGAACGGTCTCCTCTACGACGAGGATCATCACTGATCCTATAACTGAGACGACGGCGGCTCGCTACCTGAATCGTCTACCTTATGAATGGGATCTTAAAGACCTACCCCCGCTGATGGTGCTCCCTCCTCCTATGCAGCTTCCAAGGTGAAGAAGCATGAGTATGAGATATATAGGATTGTGTATACAAATAATTCATCACTGATTTATTTTCATTCATTTCCTTCTGTACTCCTTTGCGGCGGGAGAATTCAGTGTTAACACTGAATATTGAGGAGTTGCAAGAGTGCAAGATTTTTGTGCATCATTTCAGCACGCAAGATCAGTGTCCCTTTTTAGCCTAGCTAAGTCAAGCTTTGTTAGAAAACTGCACGTGAGTTCAGTAGACTCTAACTCTATCGCATCCATCGTCCGGTTGCGTTGTGTTTCCCATATTCGGTGAGCAAGGTATCGACTACACTCTGTTCAACGAATTAATGCTATCATCGAAGAGGCTCAGGCCGCCTGAGTCAGGCGACGAATGTATTGAAGCGCAAACGCGCAGAGTATTACTCTGAGAGTAATATGGTTTCGTATGTTGGCCCTATCGGAAGGGAGGCTCCATCGGGTATAATACCCCAAACCAGGTTCCTACTAAGCTGAGCTTAGTAAGCTCCAGAGGGAACCTTATATGTATGTCCGTATGACCGAGCCTCACTTGGCCTTGTATGTTGATGATCCGACCATTACCACCAAAGAGAATCTTGAAAGTGGGAAGTCCGTCAAGTCACTTGACTCACTGAGTCAAGTGACTTGACGGACTTAGTCCGCGCGCTCACTCCGGACTGAGTCCGTAAGTGTTCAAGAATGACCAGCTATGCGCATCAACTGTAATCGCGTATTAATGTGTGCTCGCGTCGTTATATTATATACGGCGCGGGGTGGTTTGTAATTATAACGCGATCACAGTATCTGCTTCTCTTGATGTCTTGTCACATCTCAGTGTGGCGTCGTGTGGCGCTGAGTGAGCTAAATTGTCCCTCTAGCGCTAGGCGTTGATTATGCTCTTTGTAATTGTAAGTTTGAGTAAGTATTAGCATTCGTTGGTAGCATTAGCATCTACCTCAAGTGCCTATATATCTATGTCGAACCAGAGTAGCGTTCTCAGTGAAGTGAGTGATCACAGATCTGTTTATGTACATATTCTCTATCGATGAATCTGAGAGAGCCGCAATAGCCTATTGCCAGTAGGTGAAATGCTCACCGAAGGTAAGTCCACTGGGAATTCTAAATTCTATTTCTCTCTCCTGAAGGATAGAGTAACTCTCATCTGACCTTCTTTCAAGCCTATAAGTTCGGACACACCGTGTGCTATGAATCGGAAGTCGAATTATACTCACATACTTGACATACGAGCCGCGGTGAAAACGTACATCAACAGCCTCAAGCAGTGGGAGAAACGATGGAGAGGCTGGGATGCATGTTCGGATTCCTCGGCTCGAGAGTTTCCCCTGTTAGATCCGTAGTTGACAACGCAACCTCAGAGAGGACCGGATTGAAGGAGTCTAATTAATACAACCGAATCGACCATTAGGGTCGACGGTTTCGGATACGCATGCGGATATCTTGGCGAGCGATGATGGCAAAAATATATAAAATGCGAGCAATATATCAATCGTCATATACAATGTCATCATACACAACACGCCCCCCTACGGTGAGATGTCACCGTCATCGAACAAAGGGGACCAGTTCTCAGTTTCAAGGTCCAGCCATTCTTCTGGATCACCATTAGACCAGCGCACCAGAACCTCCATCAAGCCCGACTGATCAACCACCTGACCTTCATACCACTCGCCTTGTCCAGAAGCGTCAATAACCCACACTCGAAGCCGTAGATCGATAAGACTGGGACCCTGCTCGCGAGTAGTGTAGTCTGTAGGATGTCGAGATAAAGGAACCACATTGTAGCAATGCTCCTTAGTGCGGGCTCCAGTAGGGTGTACGACCTCCACACGGTTGTTAATGCGCTGTACGACGTGGGCGATGACGAAAGGCTGAGCGAGCTTGCGAGGAGTAGGGACATAGACCAGAACCGTACGACCGGGATCCAGATCACCGTAACCAGCACGCAGTCGTGGGCAAACATCCGCATTGGTCTTCTTGATACGCGACCAGACCTCGGAAAGATAAACTTGCCTAGTCTGCCGACAGATTCGGTAGGGCAACTGGGGAACCTCAACCTTGATGACCGCCGAAGCACCAAGAGTTCGGACATGGCCGTAGGCTAGAAGATCTGGGCATAAGTAGCGCAACTCCGGACCACACACGATATACCCCCCTAACGGCATGGTATTGTGAGTAAGAGCAACTCGATCATAGAGAGTTTCTCGGTCGATAGGGGACAGTAACCTCACACGGCCAGCGCTGTTGCGGGTGATGTTGCGAAGGTAGTTCAACATAGAGCGATGGTGACGCTCATGGCTACCGGTCCAGGGAGCAGGACGAGGCAGTAGTCGCACCTCAGCAGAAAGCTTAGTCCAAGAGCTCTCTCTGAACTCGCGACTACGGAAGTAGGATGCACAGTCGACCCATAAAATCTTCATACCACCAGTGATCGCCTGGATGCGCATCAGGGTAGAGACCACATTGGCCGTCGACTCAACACCAGAGGGTAGATCGCGCCATATACAATGCCTCGTAAACCGGCACTGAACACTGACGGCTTTAATGCCCTCACCAAGCGCAATCACATCGGCAGTGGCGAAGGTATAAGGAGGATACTTGGACATCTCTTCGGCGGTAAGCTCGCCATCGCCATAGCCGGGAGGGGAATGCCATCCTCGAACAGCATAGGCCAGGCGGCAGGCGATACAGCAACTGATGACATCGCGGGCCGCACTGACAACTGCAGAAAGATGGAAGTGATTGACAGCAGCAAGGGTACTGTAGCGAAACTCCCGCTCGGTAACACAACTGTCCGGGACAGCCTGTCCCATCTCCTCCGACACCCCACGTTGATACGTGGATAGTAACACAATCGCTGTCCCCTTATGAGGAAATCCCTCATGAAGGGATTGGACGATCGATTTCCGCTATTGTGTCGCTCTGTCTCTTTAACTTCTCTCACCCTTAACTCACTAATCTTCTACTAACTACTACTTCCACTACAACCCTATGTCTAGTACTCAGTCGTCAATTAACGGGGAAGGAGCTGCGACCATTACTACAAATGGTGCATCATCCGAGAATCACAACGATTCTAACCCCGATGGTGGCTATGAAGGCCTCGACCTTCAGAGTCTTAGCCACCCTGAGTCCCCCGTGACTCAATTCGCGGCTCCCCCGGATAGTTCTGAGTTTGAACTTGACGACGAACCCTTGCATGGCCCAGGGCCTCAAGGGGAAGAAGAGCTGGATAGCCCTTTGCATAACAACCTCTCCGGTGGATATCCTCCGAGTCCCTCTGGTACTTCGTTAACTGAGAACCCGGTTAGAGCTGCCCTCGGCTTACTGATCAAAGAGACCCCTGTCTCTACTTCCCACTCTATCGGCCTCGACGAGTTCTCTGTTCCTGCTCTCAGGCAACTGACAGCATGTGAACTGATAGAAAGAGTCATCGGGCTTGGCTCTAGTGCCTCACAGATCCTGTATGGTGGTGAGAAGCCCTTGATAGCCTTCGTATCTCCTATCGGCACCTCCTTAGGAACGTCGATCGTGAGCTTTCTCGTTGAGTGGGGGTTGTATCCACATAAGGATTGCGCCTCAGGGCTCAGCGACCAGCCAAGCTGGAAGAACTTATCCTCCGGCCCCTTCGATTACCGAGGTTATATCAGGGCTTTCAAAACAGCATCTATTCATCCATCACTACAACTTTTGGTATGGGTCCATGTCTTACCCAAGTCTATCACTAATGCCTTGAGGGATCGTGTCCTTAGCTTCCTAGAGGTTAATGGACCAGGTCTCGACTTATCTACTGGCGCCTACGGGCCTTCTTGCGAAGCCTCGGTATTCAATTGTCGCAGAGGCCTCCTTGCTTGGGGTTGCATTAATAATACTGATGTGAATCAATCTGGAGCAGCTTTCCTCAGATGGTCTGCCTCTCTTAATTCGGTCAATGACTGGATCTTCCAGGAGGTCACTACACAGTTCGCAGCATGGGAAGAAACCGACGCTATTTATTGCCTACGCCAGTATGCCTGCTGCGAACGTCGCCATAAACGGTGGACGTGGACAGACTCCGTGGATGAAGAAAGTCGGCTCTACAGCCTTCTCTCTGAAGCTCACAAAGTCCACATACCTTGGTGTGTCAGGAGGTCTCTCCTGGTAGCTCTCGTGCAGAGCAGACCACGTGCTGAGAAGAGCGACCTCGCCTTCAGCAACCTCATTTCGGAGCTCATGGAGGCTCCAGAATACCCAACCTTTCTGAACGCTTTGTCGATTGCGGCTAAGAAGGCTCAGGCAGAATCTGTTGATAACTTCCTGGGGACACATCCTCCTAAGAGGAAGAGTTCCACTGAAGGTGCAGCAGCCAACCAAACTCCAGCCAAAAAGCCCAGAGAAACAGCCACTAGAAGTGATTCCAGAAAGACTTACTCAGGCAGCTGGAATTACAAGGCTGACTACAACTACTATGGTAACAAAAACAAGCCCTATTGGAGTAACAATTATAACAAGAACTATTGGTATGGAAACAAGGCGTGGCATTCCAAGAAGTACCACGCTTCCACTGTTGCTGAGACGACCAATAAGAAGCACCAGAATCCCACTAACGATTCTTCTACCACTACTGTTACTAACTTGACTTCTAACTATTTACAAGGAGAGTTTGTCTTGTCAATTAGCGACAGTGAGCATGAAATACTGGTGAAACCAGGAGTGGTGAGTAACCCTCGGGTGTGTAACCCTACGAAATGTAACATAGGCTTTGACACATTGGCTGCAGTTAACTGCATCACTTCAGCTGCAGCACAACAAGCTAACCTAAGCCGCAAAAACAAAAACGAACCACAACATCTCAGTGGTATCGGATCCACACTAGTCACAGCATATGTCGATGCCACCGTCAGCTATAATGGACATACTGCAACGATTCCGCTTGATATCGTAGATTCTCTACCTTGTAATATAGACATCGTAATCAGTTTCGCAGACCTCTCTAGGTTCGGAATTACTATTCACCAGAGTTGCTCAACAGCAACGAACTGTGGCGGTCCGGCAGCCACTGAGTCCCAACAGATAAACGCATGTAAAACATTCATGCAGGACTTGGCAAATACTGAGGACAGTTGGCACGCATTGCCGGGTGCTAAAAATTACCGTTCACGGCTCAGAAGAACTACAGAACAGGATAAATTGGACACTCCCAACCAAATTTATGTATACGAAATAGATTGGCAAGATCCACTTGCACAAAATCACCGAAAACATAAGGTCAGAGATTATTCTACCGCTTTGCTCAAAGACTTGACCCCAGCTCAGCGAAAGAGCTTCGAAGATGAACTTCAAATGTATTTAGATAAAGGTTGGTGGAATAAACCTAATGACTCAACAACAAACCAATCTAGCGAATTCGACTACCCACCAGCGGTGACTTTCCCTGTATGTCAAGGCGATTACAAGACAACTAAAGTTCGGCCATGCTCAGATGGGCGTGAGATGAACTCCTACCTTCCCAAAGGAGGATACAACGGCCATAGCATACAAGATATAGTCGACATCGTCCGATGTAGATGGAGATCAAGCTACAAAATGATCTTCATGGATCTCTCCAAAGCTTTCTATCGTTGTAGATTACGACGCGGACGTAAAGTCAAGATAATCAGCATGGGCCAATCATTTGAATCAGATCGTGTGCTATTTGGGGGGACATATGGCCCTGCCGCTCTCAATGGTGCTGTACTCATTCTCCTTAATGCGATTTTCTCTGCCCTTACGGGTCACACAGTGAACGCGAAGTCAACCAGGGAGTTCCTATCATTGGTAGACGGACTAAGCGTCATGGTTTACTATGATGACTTCTGTGTCTTC